GGGGGGCGGCGGGCCAGCCCAGACGCGTCTGGGCTGTCCGCTGCCCGCATGCTCCGCGGCTTTGCTCTGCTTTGCCCCCCCCGTTCCCCTGGTCTGCAGACCAGGGGGACGGGGGGGGGGCAAAGCAGAGCCAGGCAGAGCTTTGCCCCCCCGTCCCCTGACGGGGGGGGGAGCAAAGCAGAGCCAAGCCTCGGAGTGCGTGGGCAGCGGACAGCCCTGTCCGCTGCCCACGTGTTCTGCCACTTTGCTTCCTCTCCCTGGTCTTCTGGAGACCAGGGAGAGGAACGGCCCTGTTCGTAACTGCGGATCCGACATAAGTCGGATCCGCGTAACTCGGGGACTGCCTGTATATTGAAAGCATTTAAACTTTATTGGTATCTATTTCAAAAATCCATGGCTTCATCTTGGAGTATCTTGAAAGATTCTTCATAAAAATATTTGTGGTCTGTTTTTAATAATGGGAGGATAGATTTGGGTGAGAACTGCTTTGACTCGTGAAATGGAAAGCTCTTCTGAAATATTGTTAGAGTGAGGCTGCCAAACACCTTTATAACTGACCCATTTTGTCCCCAATTTCCTAGCACAAGCAGCACCTTTCTAAAAATATCACCTGTAAATAGCGTTTGCCGAAGAGAGAGGTGGTGACTAGGTTCTCAAGATAGACGCTTTTCCCAGTTTCCTCCTTACGTTCTACCTCTTGACCTCTCCCCTGCTGCCTTCCTCCCCCAAATCCTGTAGCTCCTTAGAGGCATTGTTGTCTTTCAAAATGTTTGTTTGTTTGTACTTGCAATGCCTAAGGAAAATATGTTGGATTGAGGTAACAATATGGTATGTCTGGTGTGCTTTAGTGCTAGCTCTTTGACGAAATTATGACTCAAGTCTATAAGTGAAGTGGCAATGGTGATTCATCAATACCTTGAAAGTACTACTGTCGCTGTTCATCTCATTCCTTGGCAGTATGACAACCGACAGAATGAAGAAGTGTAGAACAATAAAAAGGATGACCATTTATCAGTGCTTTACAAGACTTAGTGATAGAAATTTAGCCGTGTTAGTCTGGTGTAGCTGAAACAAAAAACAGGACTAACAAGATGGTTTATTAAGTGATGAGCTTTCGTGGGCCAGACCACAACCATATATACCAAAGGATACAATTAAAAAATGAACTGACATTCATGCTTAAATTCGATACTTTACACCTAAGCTTAAACAAAGACATTAATTATCTTACCCATTACAAAGATAGCTTCCCCAATTATCACCTCTAATATCATTAACTCAGACATTTATACCTCCTCCCCCCCATTCCCCTTTTATTCTGAAATTTGATTTGTCCTTTTCATGTGTGTTCATTTTTTTTTAATTGTATCCTTTGGTATATATGGTTGTGACAATTTTCTTCCACTATTTGATCTGAGGAAGTGGGTCTGGCCCACGAAATCTCATCACCTAATAAACCATCTTGTTAGTCTTTAAAGTGCTACATAGTCCTGTTTTTTGTTTCACAAGACTTAGTCTGTTAGTACAGCAGTGCAGGGTCTTGTCTGAAAATGTAAAGCAATAGCATGGTTTTTCACTATGCAGTCATATAGTCTGTGCAGCTTTCATGAAACTGTTTTGATGCTCAATTCTGCAATGCTTAAAACCAGTCATAACAGTTAATACCATATGTAGTTCCTGTAAAAATATCAAGGAACCCCGAGGTGCTTAATTTGACACATTGAAGGACTCCTCACAGTTCATAAAGTTAAGCACATGTGAAAGCCTTTGAAGGATCAGGGTCTTAAACAGCTGTATTGATCACATATGTACATTTTAAGTGAAATGACCTGAAACAATTTTGGTTTTTGTCACAAGTAGTCTTGAGTTTTATTCTAATGTATACTTATACTGATATTTATCTGATTGAAATTATCATTTCAATATTGGTGTGTTTCTTTTTTAGCCTTGGGGTTCAATCTTAAGGAACTGGAACTTCTTAGCTGTGACACATCCTGGTTATATGGCATTTCTAACATATGATGAAGTCAAAGCAAGGTTGCAGAAATACAGCACCAAACCTGGGAGGTAAGAGGTTTCAGTGTTTACTGTTTTTAAAATAAATTTGTTCTCTTTGAAGCTGTTGTCTGATTTGGGGGGAGTGAATTCATAACGTGATTTTTTGTTTGTTTGTCAAAGTAAAGTTGTATGAACTCTAATACAGAGTAGTATCTATTTGTAGACTGTAGCTGAAGCAAACTTCAAGCCCCTTTTTCATAATGGGATACAGTTTTGCTATCCAGAGTGTTTTAAAAAAAAACAAAACCCAAGATTCAGCTTTTCTGTGCACCCTCATGAAGTAGAAACTGAGTTGCACTGATTTTAAGTAAAACACCACATAGATCTATGGTAATATATAGAAATAAATAATATTTATAAATATAAAATAGTAATATTATAAATATAAATAATAGAGGCTTGACATAAAATCAGGAGAGTTAGTTACACAAGGGATGACTGAATATACATCTGGGGTTTAAAATAGCTTTTTTTTAATCTGTCATTCTATATTCAAGGAAAGGAAACCAGCACTGATTTTCAAATTATTGGATTTAGTACTATTTAGTATACATTTTTCCATATTTTGATTAATTGCTGGGAAGGTTTTTATTACTAATTGAGATGCACTAAAAGCACATTAAAATAGGTTTGGGCCCAGTATTCAGATTTTTTTTAAATTATAAAAACTAACACAAACACTTTTTCATCAGTTTTACTTTGTACTTGTTACAGTTTTTTAAATTTATTATAAAAGTATACCCAGGCCAAAATTCCAAATTTAAGTACACTGAACTTTGGGATTTTCAGACCTGGATTTCAGACCTTCAATTTTGTGACTTGAGCTGTTTTTCCATTATTAAAATATTATTTTGTTGTGCTATGAAATCAAGCAATTTTTATTAACTGCATGAAACCAAAAAGCCAAACTAACTTCAAATGGTTAGAAACAAAAGTGAAACTAACTAGTTTATTGGTATATTTATGTTTTTCCCTAACCTTGAACAAACAATATTAAATTGGAAATATTTAAAAATACAGTTCACTTTTCACATACAGTTACTATTTAAAAAGGAATTTATTTTGGGGGGTCTTTTTGCATAGTCTTTTAGATTATAGGTCTTAGTTTAATCAGTATGATTTACATATGTTGGGTCAAAAGCATATACTTACCTCGTCGGTATTTATCAGAGGATGTGTTCTTTGATAAGGTTAAAAAGGATCAAATTTGTGTGTGTGTATTTTTAAATAACTTGTATTACTAAAGTGCTACAGAACTACTTGTTTTTTAAATTTACAAACTTTAAACACGGTTACCCCTCTGAGACTTATGTGAAATACTAAAACTTTGAGAGGGAAATAATTTATATAAAGTGGAAATACTTGCTTATTCATTATTCAGTATTCTGGAAATTCTGAAGTTTTTTTTGTCAAAAGCCAGTGTACAGAAAATAATTACTCTTCAAGTAAAATCTTGGTATTGCTGAGGTCAACAACTATTTTGTGATTGACTTCAGTAAGGCCAGGATTTCACATTTTCTATTTACTGTGGAGAAAGTACAATTTTAAGTAGTGATACTTCACATGAGAAATCGGATCACCTCACTGTGGCTGGTTTTCTTGTGTGAACTATTAAAAACTGAGTTGCTATCTGACATTGAATTAGGGATGTTAAATATAGGTTAGTTAATTAAGTAATTAATTAATTGGCTAGTTGATAAGTGGGGGAGCCATAGTGGGGTTAGCATCCTGGCCCTGGGAGCTAACCCTGCTGAGGTTCTACCTTTTAAATGTATTAAGAGCCTGCCAGCGCCTAATACGTTTAAAAAGCTGGTGTGCAGCAGGAGGGGGACCTAGTGCGAACCAGGCCAACTGATTCCTGGCTCATGCCGGGGTCCCTCCCTGCTGCGCTTTAGCCTTTTAAATGTATTAAGAGCTTCTTTTGTACCTCGTACTGAGGATGGCTTTCTTATGTGCAAAAGTGGCTGCATTTCAGTCATGCTGTATGTATGTTGTCATAGAAGTTCTTTTGAGTACTTCACAATAAAATATGCTATCTAAACATTGGGGCTGATCTGGATTTTTCATGTGAATTTGAAGTGTAATTTCATATCATATTTGTATTTTAGTTGTGTCTACTGAACCCAAGTGAAATGTGTTATTGCCATAGGCCTATATTTACACATAAGACATGATCCTTGCCATCAATAGCTAACAATGCCCCTAAGTCTAAAGAGACTTTTAAAGTGTGATGCGTAACCATATTCAATAGGAATAGTCCGTGAATATAGTTACACATGTGCAGGTTGAAACTCTGTACTCTGGACTGGCTTAGTCTGGCAACATTCTTGGTCCAGCATCATTGACAACTTTGTAATTTACACATAAGACATGATCCTTGCCATCAATAGCTAACAATGCCCCTAAGTCTAAAGAGACTTTTAAAGTGTGATGCGTAACCATATTCAATAGGAATAGTCCGTGAATATAGTTACACATGTGCAGGTTGAAACTCTGTACTCTGGACTGGCTTAGTCTGGCAACATTCTTGGTCCAGCATCATTGACAACTTTGTA